ATGCAAAGGTCACTGTATGAATTACCTTAGATCATATTATCTTGTAAACCCTGCATTATACTTCACCATTGCCTCTAATTTTGTTTGGACCAATGGTCCATTTCATTAGGAGAACTAATCGTGTTTTCATACCTTTGGATAAAAGTCCCGGTTAAAAATAATTAGCATAAATACAGAGAGGTGATGTCAGTGCCACCCCACGGCAGATGCAGAAGCAGTAATGCTATTATGACACTGTGGAAGAAGCAGCACCCCCTGGTGGTCTTACACTGTCAAGCACGCACAGCTCCAGGCGGCCGTCCTGCACCACGTATATGCTGTCGTCCTGGTCCCCGGGCCGAAAGAGGCCCTCGCCCTCCTGCAGCTCTATGGAGACCATGTGACGACACAGTTCCAGGAAGAGCGGCTTCTCAAAGTGGCCCAGCACCCTGAAGAGGGACACAAACAAGCAGGAGAGAGAGAGGTTTCTTAATCTTCTTTTCATAGACATTATTACTCTCACATTTGCACTGGTTCAGTGGTCAGTGTAATTTTTGGCTTGTAGAAAACAGGTCCCTGGTCTGAATCCCCATAGAGATAATATGTCACTGTTGAGCTGTTGAATTAGGCCTTTACCCCAAAAACTGCACTTGTATGGACTGTGGGGGGAGGGGCATAAAAATTCCTGATACTGCACTCTGACCCCAAGCTTCACCTCAACTGTATCTGTGCACCTCATATGTAAAAATCAAGCAATTCCTGTATCTGCACTGTAAAACTGTCAAATAAAACTATACCACAACTATATTATATTAACCATATTACATTTGTATACTAAGTACAGCATACACTATTCCACTAAATGATCGGGAACGCACACTGTTCCAAACATATCGTGAGGTATATTCCATAGCCCAGTGCATTCTGGGAGCACGGTGCACGTTTGTTTGCCCCCACGGGGTCACCTGACGTTCTTCAGCATGTAGAGCACCTCGGACGGGAGGTGGGAGTTCTGCACGTCAAACTCGGTCAGGTCGGCCTCCAGCAGCGAGGGGGGCGGCTCCTTCGGCTGCAGGGTGGGGGGCTCCTTTCGGATCCGTAGGATCCTGGGGAGCACGAGCGGGGTGGGGGTGGAGAGCAAATCCATTCACCTTTTTCTGCAGAGGGTATGACTAACATTTACACAGGTGGCACCCAGTCAGATCAGGTTCAACAAAGCTACTGGGTGCCACCCAAAACTAACAATCAAGACCAAGCAATCAGAAGCCAGGAGTGCCTTACACCTCATTCAAGGGTACAACACTCATACGAGGCCACACCCAGCAACAGCCAACCTTCTACAACACATCATCACAACACTGTTTCAGTAATTTGGAGGTTTGCATTGAAATCAGCAATTATGCACAAAATAAAAAAATGAACAAAAAATGCTAAGACTCGTTTCAGAATTATTACTACTATTGTCATCACTGATGGTAACCTTTCCTCCACAACATGCCAGCTTCTGTCTGTACCCTTATTAGTAATTAATTTGTAGGCCATCATATATGTTCATAAAAACTGTTCAGAGCACATAACTTTCTTGACATTTGCAGCCATCTTCACATATTCATGATTTATTTAGCCCTATCTTCTGTTTCCATTATTTCCTCCATTCATTTTATATGTATTTCACACATACCTCTGCAGTACCTAGTTGTACATCTACTTTGAGGTTTAGCTAGTGCTTTTGCCTTCTTTTGTGCTAAGACGGGGTGTTAAGTGTCACTGCCTGGGTAGTACAAAGAAGATACTGAAGTACAAAGGGCAAATGAAGAAGCTAATGAAGAATCGAGAATCTTGTGGTCCGGGGACTCACTTGCGAGCTATGGTGAGGACTTTGGGTCTCTTCCGGGAACGCTGGCGGGATAAAGAGGTGGACGAGGGCGTGGAAGAGAGAGTCTGCACCTGAGAGTCAGTGGGAGGAAAGGAAGGGCACAGAGAGAAGCATAAAGGGATGTTATTACATAACACGCTGACATAAGCATGTCCGGCACTGAACCACACTGCCTCTGCAGGATGCCAGCGGAATGACATGCTGCGTCAATGAGGAGTATTCAGCATGGACCCGGCCTACCTTCCTCATGATCTTTCGGCCGTAAAACAGCACCTTATCCCTCTTCCGGAAGCGATATCGAGGAACGCCAGCCTGCTGCTGCCCTGATTACCACAAAAAGCAGACCAAAAAGCTGAGTCATCTTCAACACAGGTGGATCTTTTTGGCATAAAAGCAGAAAAAAAAAAAAATCACAGCAGTGCGCCTACTGTACACTGAATAAAGGTGCCAAACAGATCAAAAGCCACTTCATTTTGCTGAAATTGCCGTTCGCCATATTTTTTGACTCAAAGCCCATGACAACTGACAGAAGATTGAGGGTAATTATGCAAACAAACAGCAGTGCCTGACTATTTATGTAGCAAATAAACACAGACTTGCTCCACATGACATGTCAGCCAACGGCTGTGAAGCTCTTTTAAATGTCATATCTGAATAGCTTGTACTGGAAAACTGACATGAGCGGGACGGGCACTGAGGTGACAATAAAGCCAAACGGGGGCGAGGGGAAGGTACTAACCAGACAGCTTGTATTTCCTGTAGAGGAACAGCACCACGATGCCGATGAGGAACACGGCCACTGCTGCCCCGATCACCATGCCAGTCAGCTGGAAGACACAATCCCATGGTGACCATCTCCATGGTGATTCACTAAATTAACCTAAGACACTTGCTGGAACCTTTCCCATAATCCAAAGAAGCTTTAAGGATGGGAAAAGTCATAGAATAATGACTTAAAACATGTGACGTCCTCCGCCTCTGAATGTGAGACTACATTCGTTTTCCATGGCCCTGTAGCAAGCGGAGGGTGACAATCAGCCTGGGGCAGCCTAGGAAACTCGGCAAGGAACCAGCCAGACAGGAGGCCAGGGTACTGCAGGGCGCGCTGGCACGCACACACACACACACACACACGCACGCGCACAGACACACGCACACACACACAAAGGTCCCCTAAAACACGGGTGTCAAACTCCAGTCCTGGAGGGCCGGAGCCCTACACAGTTTTTGGTTTCCCCTCATTTAACACACCTGATGCAACTCCTTGTGCTAATTGCCACACAACTCTTGAGCATTTGTGGCGGAACAGGGGAAGAACTAAGCTACACAGGGCTCTGGCTCTCCAGGACTGCAGTTTGACACCCCAACCCTAAAAGCACATCTTTATAGTGCAGAAGGACACCAGGTTACCTGACAGTAACCCACACAAACCAGAAACATAGTGCATGGGGAATTAAACCCATGATCCTGCAGGTGCGAGATTCTGTGTGATCACGAGACAGGGCTGTGGGATGGAGACAAGCTGGAAGGTGACTGTACTAAGGTGGCCTGCACCCTCTCCTCCACAAATCGCTGTCTCCCTGTGACCTTCTGGAAAGGTCAGGGAGAGCATGTGGTTTCTGGCCTTGGTGACCTAGAAACAGTCCTGGATGTTGTGTGACGTGGAAGATGATTTGAACGAAGAAAATAGACATATAACAAGTGTACCAGAAACCCTCGCCTACTACGAGAATACACACTCTTCTACTGAGCTGACCGCTAGTCCCTAAAAATAAACCCTTCCAGATGATTATGACGTAAACGTTATAGAACAGATGCCCTTGTGGTGGCGTCACAGGGCTGCAGGATGGAGATGAGCTGGGAAGTGGGTGTTACCATGGTGGTCTGCATCCTCTCCTCTACGAACTGCTGCAGCCGTGTTCGAATGTCAATCCCGCCAGGCAGCATAAGCTGAAAGACAAGCACAAGCACTCTGTGACGAATGGGGTGGGGGCCAAGTGCAAGGACTAAACAAACCAGTCGTCAAGATAAAAGAGACTGACGACAGAAGAACAAGTCGATTAACTGGCTTCCAAGGTCATGTCACATCCCTGCCCCAAAAGACGGGAGGCACCATGCGTGAGTTTTAAAGCAGCCACATCTCAACTCAAAGGCCACTCTCCCTCCCTCCTTCCTCTTGTGCTGATCAGCACCCTGGCCCACTGCTTCTCTGTCTCCCCGTGACTTTCCAGAAAGGTTAGGGAGAGTGTGGGCGCCCATGCATGAGTGTGGTTTCTGGCCTCGTTGACCTAGAAACTGTCCTGGATGTTGTGTGACGTGGAAGATGATTTGAACAAAGAAAATGTGTTGGGACTCAAAACAATGCAAGCACATACACATATAACAAGTGTAGCAGAAATGAGAAAGTCAGGAGGGTGGCAGTGTCCTGCAGAAGGTCACTGTGACCAGCTGGAATCAGTGGTGGCCTTTATACATAAACCCTGCTTATTTACAATGATTTATTCAGCAGTTGCTTTTGTCCAAACAACACACAACTGAGGATCAGAGAGTTCCTCCAATGTCCAGCCAATGTCCCAGAAGCACTTGGGGTTAAGGGCCTTGCCCAATGGTAGCATGATTACTCTGCCAGCCATGGGATTTAAACCCATGACCTTCTGGACACATGCTTAGCCCCAAATCCACAGTGCTAAGCACACTATCCAGATGGCGGGTGTGAGAGTTAGCACAAGACAAGGCGTGTTCCAGCACCTTACCGGGTATGTGCCACAGCTCTCTGCATCTTCAACTTCCATTTCTGGGGGCAGATAGAAAGTTAAAATGAGTCCCAAACACACATCCACATCAACAAGTAGAACATTAGAACACACAACCACATAGACTTGATGACCACTATGCTGAACCTAAACTACAGTGAAAGTGGCCTTTGAGCCTCCCTCTCTTTCCTGAGAATTTGCAAAGCGTCTTTGCTTCACTGGTACCAAAACAAACACAGCCACTTGAAGTACTGCAGCACATCAGAAAACTGACGGGGCGAAAAAGCAATGAAGAAAAAGCAAAGCATAATAACGGGTGGCGTGTTTAAGGTTACAAGAATCATATGAGCTGGTGTGTCAGCGAATCCGCCGCCAGCGTAGTAAGTGACCTTCGTCACAAACAGTGCTTACAGCGTTAAAATGTACTGCTAATGGCGCAATCGGCTCAGTTTCACCGCCAACACACCCTCCTGCGTATATATACGCTCAGACTGGAAATGACACCGTACTTAAAAAACTTAATCCGGCACATATGGGAGAGCTTTTATTGATAATACACGAGTACCAAAACAAAAAAGAACTGATCAGAAAGTCCCATAGATAGAACGGTGTAGTGTGTTTATAAATAAAGCCTGTCGACAATCAAAAAGTATTTGAGTAGGAAAACCAGCTGTGCGCAACATGGCAGTGAGGCATGATCTCTGGGGTCAGACACAAGGAACGATCCTTCTGGAGATGCAGAAAGTGAAAAGGGGAAATACGCCAAATTTGCAGGGTAAAAGTAACATCTTGAACTCCGTAGTTACATGTATTTGCGCGCACATACTCCGCCCAATCTGGACACAAAGCAACACCAATCCGTTGTAACACAGCCGATTGCTGAAGACATTCACCCAAGTGTTTTTACTAGTATTAACTTCACAAATAAACTTTTAAAGCCTACCATTGGCAGTGCAAATTCCCCGTGTCAATTAAAGCAGAACTTACCCTACTTCACGGTCCCGAACTCTGCCTAGACGTTGCCTTGACAGTGAGGGAAACGCCTACCAGTATCTAACGGCGCTATTGGATATCCTTCTAAAATTTCACCCAACCAGCGTCAGGATTGTTTCGGGTGTTTACGGAAACATGGAACAAAAGAGAATTTACAAACTGGACACTGGTTCTGCTGACGTTCTGCAGTGAGATACCGTTATAGAAGTGTAGGTTTGCAAGTTTTTGAAAGAATAAAGACAGCATGGAAATAGTTACAATTGTTATTTGCTGTGTTGCGAGGCTATTAATTCCAGGTGCAATGTGTCTTACAGTGGTTACACAAATCTACACCAAATTGCGATTTCTATATACCTAAGGTTCAGTTTTACAGAACTATCCCATGCGCACGAAAATTGGTCCAAAATTCAAATGCGTAAGCGATTGTTTGTGACTTCTATATTTTTGTCAGGAATAATCAGACCCAGATCTAATATCAGTTTTCTTTGTTAATCAACTAAGCGATTATCACGCACATCGTGTCATCTAGAAAGTATTTCAGCTGTTTCATAAAAATAAAACTAGTTGACATGCATTGTCATAATTTCCCTGCTTTCCGGTGTATTGCAGAAATTTGCGGACTCTCTGTCTCCATCTAGCGGTATACGCAAACGACTCACAAAGTGATGAATAAATGGATCAAAATTAAGATGGTGAAAGGGATGCGAAAATGAAAACAATTATAGTCAGTGAAAAAAAAGTTAAGCACCCAGAAGTAATGGTCTGATTTGGATGTAATTTGGTACACGTGCAGATCAGCGATGGGTATGTAAATGATTCAATTTGCGAGGAGTTTGCACGTCTAGTGACCAGAGACAGGACGCCCCCTAGATGCATTAGACAGCATTACCAGCACTTGGCGGAGTCTGATATTGGTCTCATTGTGGGTTTTCATGAGGGTGGGAGGTTCTATGCAATTCCCTGGCATGTGGCACATGCAGATGTCACAGTCGTCTGATGTTGTATCCAATGGGCATGAGAGGGCACCCACACACATTGTGAAGGTTCCGGTTGCCCAAGACAGACCACACCAAGGGAGGATCATTGTATTGTGTGCCAAGCATTACAGAACCTCATGACATCTGCGCCTGCCATCTGGACACAGGTATTGGATTCTCTACAACACCCTGTGTCATCCTGCACCGTGTCTTGATGACTACAGGTTCACCGTCCCATGCGTAGGCTGCCATTAACACCAGCACAGAGACAGCTGCGTTTGGAGTGGTGTCCTAACTGGGAGGCATGGACTGATGACAAGTGGTGTCGCACCATGTTCAGGGATGAATCTTGGTTCTGCATTACCATGGATGACCGTCGTGTGCACATATGACGGTGCCAAGGGGAGAGGACCAATCCTGCCAATGTTGTGGAGAGACACACTGGGATTACTCCTGGCATCATGGTGTGGGGATCCATAGGGTATGACTTCAGGTCATCTCTGGTAGTGATTCAGGGAACCCTAATGGCACAGCGCTACGTCAGTGATATGCTGCGTCTGAAGGTTTCCCCTCCTGAGACAACACCCTGGTTTCAACAAGACTATGGACTATATCAAAGGACTGCCTGCGTCATGTTGAGGTCCTCCCATGGCCAGCCAGGTCCCTTGATCTTTCCCCAATCGAACATGTGTGGGATCAGCTTGGATGTCAACTCAGACCCAGTGCCAATCTGCAGGATCTCGAGGGCCAGTTACAACAGCTGTGGGCCGATTTGCTACAGGAGAGGATGCAACGGCTGTACGACTCCCTTCCGCACCATATTGCCGCATGTATCCAGGCCTGGGGGGGGGGGAGTTGAGGTGTTGCCACACCCTACTGACATGGGACCAGCAGTGTGCCCATACTGCCAACTCTTTCGTCCATTTGATCTGATATTATACTCATTGCGATACAGTCGCACAAGCTTTCACCATGTGCAGATTCATTTTATTTCCACCACTCCATCTGAGTGCATAACATTTTTTGTCAATGAGTATATATGCAGATTTCAGATTGTATTAAGTAATCCTAACAAAAGTACAACAATAATATGATGTAGACTTACCATAATGTACAATATCCAAGCCATTTGTATTTTAACTATTTATTCTATTGTCAAGGACCGAAAAACTTAACTAAGACATTTTTTGCAATTTGTTGGTTGAACTTCTTTGTATCACTAAGGATAAAAGATCACAAGACTAGACATCACTAGACATCTATCACCATATGTCTGGGGTAATTCCATTAGGTAAGAGACAGCAAAACTTTTTCGCAAGTGAGTTACGAGATGTGACGATAAGGTAAACACCAGGGAAACATTACCAGAGTGGGGGCGATACAGTGGTTAGCAGTGTTGCTCCACACCGCTGGGACTGGGTTTGAGTCTCCGTAGTTGCTCCATGTGTGTGTATATCCTTTCCTCACAGTCCAAAAACATGCTAAACTGAATGTGTGTTGTCATTCCATCCTGCACTGTCAGTGAAAAGTACTAATTGTGACTTTGAGGGTACACATATGGTGCTTTTTCACTGGCATACAGGAACTGAGCTACACCATGAAGAGAGACTAGTTAACAGGACGGTTCCAGCTCCCTTCAGTTTTCTACTGCAGATGGGTCGGATCAGTATAGGCGTGGGCGGGGTGGAGAGCAATAGTGATGAAAAACCAGAGACGCTAATTAACTCTTCACACAATGCACATCATGATTTACTGTGTGCTAATTTCTTAATTTTCTAGCACATCTATGAGAATCACCGTGTTATGTTAGCATCACTTGCTAAATTTGCATAAATTTGCATTACCAATCCAGTAGGAGGTTTTCAAGTACTGAATTATCGGGAACGCAACGGTACATCGAAATGTGTGATACTACTAATAATAAACACTTTATATAACATACCCTTTTCCCTTCAGATAATCCATGCGCAGAACACTGGTATATCCGTGCATTTCGACCAATCAGATGGCGGTGACGCAATCACCTCGGTTAGGCTCGCTTTTGGCCCTGCTTAGCATGGTTTCGGCTCGGGTGTGGCTCGCATACTTTACAATGAAAAACCATCAGTTCGCGGTAGGGACTGGGTTCGGCTGGGTTCCTGGTGGCAGTGGTAAAGCGCCATTATATGTCACTAGGGCTGTATCTTTAAGGACCTGCCAATTGTACCACAGCTGTAGGTAAATGTAGCCTAATTTAAGGTACAGAAATGGACTCAGGAACATTTTTGTGCCATTTTGAGTGCATTAATGTGGAGGAACAAAACTGTATCAGGGCTGTAGCCTTTTTCTGACACTGTGGGTTACTCTTTGCTTTGCTCCATTAGCTTTGGCGACAGGCTTCAGGTCCCTGTGACTCTGAACAGAACAAGCGGGCATAGAAAATGGATGGAATACGATAATGCACTCAAGCAGAGTTTTCTTTAAAGAAATTCTGCACATTGTATAGACACGGAGACATTTATAATCAAAATTAAATAATAAGGCTCATATATACATTGACCATTAACAGTACTTAGAAAATAATATTTTTGTACATCCACTGCATATTATAGGTTTACACATCAATTTATGTTCTTCTATGCTTTTATTTTTGTTTATTGCGATGCATTTCAAGTAGGGGACAGGAGGTCTGTCCGTCCCCTTTTCATCCTTCTACATAATGATATTTTGTGTTCTTTTCCTTTGGACTCAAGAGACAAAGTAATTCATCCGCTTCAATAAACAACGCCAACAGCCTCTCTGTTCTCCTTTCAAAACAAACATGGCTAAAAGGGGAATACACTGATGAAAGGACCAGCAGAAGCCTGCTGGATATAGACCAGGAATGTTTTTTTTTCTTTCTTGATTTCAGAACACAAGTATAAAAGCTTTCTAGAGGCATTCTGCTCCTTGCAGTGAACTTGCCTAGTGCGGTCCAGTTCTTGATTCTGCAGGCTACTTGTCTTCTCCAGAATCCTTTGGGAAATGTGTACAAGTCCTACATGCTGACAAAGAACCTATTCTTAAATAAGTTCTGGTCCCAGTTGTTTGTTCTGGTCTCATCCAAGTTGCTGTTGGGTTACAAATACTGATTTTTTTTATTGTTGTTTGATAACTAGCATTATTATAACAAATAGCAACAATAAAGTTGTACCAGGGTTGTGCAGTGGCCTCATTACTCCAGTGTTGTGGCTTCCATTCCCTCTCACACCAGTGTGTGTGTGTGTGTGTGTGTGTGTGTGTAGCTTAGGTGAACTAGTGTCCCTAAATCACCCTCAGTGTGTTCCCTGCAATAGTTTGGTATCCTCTCCTTTGTTTTGGATGGCAAAATAAAATGCTACTTATTATGCATAGCTGGAGTCATAATAGAACCCAAAATAGACATGGCGAACAAGGATTAAGTTCGACATCTCTTAAGGGACTTGAATCTTCCCTGTGCTACATTAAAGTGGAATGGAATTTGGCAATATAACTCTCAATCCAGAATGTTAGTTCTATTTATCATCAAATAAAGTGAGAGTTGAATGGAAAGTATTACATATTAAGTACAAACATAGTGAAATCATGTTCTGAAATATATCATCATAAGGTATTTTAGCTAATAAACCTTTCAGAAGTATTTAACTGTACCCCCCCCCCCCACACACACACACACATAGATACTATTAAAATTAACAGAAAAACAAACAATGTTCTAGAAACACTCACGATGGATCATAAATTCAGAGATAAAACAAAATTTTAAATTCTCACCACTGTCACAGTAACAGGCGACACTTTCCATGCAAAGACTTTCTGTGATGATGTAGTACATTTTCCAGGTGGGATTTCTGGAGGAAGAACCTCCAAGAGGTGCTGTACATTACTGACCCGTGGAGCAGGATTCACAGCCGTCTTAAGCGCCCAGTCCCGGGGAATTTCTCAAACCAAAAGGCACACAGGTCCATTGGAGGCCAAGGCTGCAAAGATCATATTTTTTTCCAGCACATGAGATTGACTGCAACCTTTAAGAAAGTCAAGCTTGAGCACAAACTTTGCGGTCGCTGTATGATCCACACAGCCGACTGCACCTGGGAGTGGGTCGGTATCTTTAACACGCTGCCTTTAATGCTGTCAGCACTGAACCAAAAGGCTCCTTCTGGGTGTTTCTCTCACTGCCAGACAAGAATAGACCATAGAATTGCTATTCTGTCTAGCTATACAAATATAGTGACATCATGTATCGTACCTTGATCAAAAGAAGCTGCCTTTCACAGGAAAAGCAGAAGATATACCACAAAAAAGCAGTCAAACAGGCCCATTTTCACAAAAGACAATGGAATCCATAAAGGAACTGTTTGTTTCAGTCCAAAATACATGCAATAGCAAAAAATTTAAATTCCCAGAAATCATCCTGAATGTCAGTTTAAGTTTTTGTGTCAAGCAAACCAGTAGACCACTTAATAATACTAGTTCTTTGTGATACAGTTTTTACTAATCTGTAAAAATACAGACTTGCCTTTCTAGTTTCTTTGTCTAATTGCTATGCTGAATATGCTGGTATAGCACATAGCAAAAAGGCTTCATTGTCATATTAGTTCAAGTGTACATATATAAGCAAGTCAGACGTCATGTACAACTTCATTTTCCCAATTCTTGATTCCCACTTGTTTTACCTTTATTAACCTGCTTCCCACTAGTATTTTATAAAATAAAATTTCCCTTTCAACAGTCTTCTCACAAATTTCAGCTGCCCGTACCGCTCGCAGAATTTGCAGAAGGCTGCAACAATGAGAATGCAATAATCTGTATTATTTCTGACCAATATCCCAAGGGTACAACAACCAAATATACAAGAAAAGCACGTTTTTAAAAGGCGGCATCGTCACAGGAGTACAAAGCTATACAAACAGGTTTGCCGGAAAATTCTTAGAAATTCAAAAAATGTGAAAACCATGTGACTTTCCTACAAATGTTAGTCACATTATTGGCCCATAACACTTCAGCACGTTCACAAGTGAAAAACCACTGTTTTGTCTATTTGGAGGTTTTCTGTAAACAGTTCTGTTGTTTCAAGAAACACTGTGATTATAATTAGCAGCAGGAGATCAGCACGGAAAAAGCTGCTACAGGCAAAGTGAATTGACCATCAAAGTTTCAAAATTCTTACTTGCATGAATCATTTGCACAAATAAGAACAACAGTAAGTAAAAATAAATAACTAGCACCACTGTAGGTAATACTCCACATATAGGGCTATGTGGTAATTCCAGTACTGTTGAGCCCAGTCACTTTTGTTGCACACAGCACAAGTTGTCCATAAGTAGGGTTCCCCTGCATGTGCTGGGAAAGCCAATTCTGTGACATGAGGAAAGTGGGCTGCTTTTGAAAGTCTTGCCTGTAGTCTCAAATGCAGATGAATGCAATATACATGGATGAAAACTTGAATTTTCTTTTTTTGATTATTATCTACAGTGTGTTATAGATACTTGTCACACCGGGAGCCGATAAGCAGGCGAAGGGAACAGTAGATATAAACAAACGGGGTTTATTCGGACTCAATCAGCACACAGGAACACGTAACCCGAACGCGGACTGAAATACACAAGTCCAATGGCAGGGAACGTAGAACAGCTGGTGAACGTAAGGATTCCATACGAGGTTAACGAGGGTGTGCGTGGCACACGGGACGATCGGACGATCGGGTGTAACAAGTTTATGTGCAATGGCTTGGGAATCCAAAAAATCCAGGATATCTGTGAATGAATATTCTGTGATTTCTCTTGCAAATATTTTTATAATCACCGCATTGGGTGTGATCAAATTGGCATCCTCACGCCAGGATGTGCTCTGCTTCGGCTCGGAGTACACCTGTAATAAATACCATGGCCGTCATTTAGACAGGACGCTACTGTGTTTTAACAGAATTTTGTTACGCAAGTGCTCCCCCTAGTGCTCACGTTTGCCTCTGCAGAGATGTCAGACAGTATTTCAATAGTACATAACCAACAAACTGTATTCTCCAACATATGTATAATACAAGCAAAGTATCATTCAAACTCCAAAAAAGCTTCATCTGTCACAGCCCACATGGTAAAATTGTGCATGGAAGGCCTGCTTCAGGTCCCCCTACATCAAAGTCTACTTCACATCATTCCAGATCTTCTTTTAAAGCCAATGATTTGTGAATTTTCTTGAGTGTTTCAGATTGTGTTGAAGGACTCATTTTCATCCATAGTTTTTTGAAAGGTGACCCCTCACACATTCTGCTTCTGTAAGCTCCGGTACATTGTGGAATTTGTAGTTGATTCAATACCCCATGTTCAGTAGCATAAGGTTCTTATGTTGAATGTTTTTTTTTTGTTGTTTTGCGTCAAACAATGCATCTGGTATTGAAGCTAAGCCATTCCACCATTCACTCACCTGTCCAAGGAACACTGATCCAGAAGTGATGTTTGAAACAACATGCGATCTCTAGCAACTTTCAGATGTGCTTTTGTCTTCCATTTTGGTGAAGCGAAGTCTCTTTTTTACCAGATGGGCACTTCCTAATTGTTGACAGTGATATAACATTTATATCTTCATTCTTTCTGGCATCAAACAGATTAACATGGATCAACAGTTACTGATTTGCCATAAGGTAACAAAATTAATCCAATTTTCTCATGTGGGTGCAAACCTGGGTCTTAAAAGCTGTTCAACTAACTTTCAAATAATTTGCAGCTTTTTTTTCACATGGCAGAGGCAAAATATACTGTGTGGAAAAAAGTAGTGGGACAATTTTCAATTGTTTTTGTTAAATGGTGTCACATTAACCACAACATATAAAAAATGATTAGGATCTTCATGTCTAAATATAAAATGTCAAAATTTTCCATGGGGTGTATTTTCATGACTGACCTTGTAGAAGAGATTTAACTTTAATATCCCCTGGAGGAAAAAGGAGGAATTACAACAATTTGGGTCCAGTTTTGGGTGTGAATAAATGCTGTGGGAACAATGATAGAGACCAATGACTTATCAAAATTTGACACTGACAGGAGTTTCATAACTCAGATGGGTGACAAGTGACAGAAGAAGTGCACACCCTGTGGTGATATCATCCCAAATGAAGCAGGAAACTGTTGTCAGTATTTTACAGTAATTGTAAACAAGTGCTGTACCTTGTGCAACTGGCACGGACTTTGGGATGGAGCAAGACAGTAGAAAAAAGTCAACCAATCTAATGTCTTGGTCCCCCCTCCTTTAGTTGCTTGGACCCACCTCCTCTACAACCTGATTGGTTATCTCTCTGAAGCCATAATTTATTTTTCATTCTGTCCTCAGACCATTTTTGTGCTAGTAAGACTCCCACGAGTGGCTGGGGGGGTTCACTGATGAAGAGGGGCTTAGAGTAGAAGGTGAAGTGCAACTCACTGAAATCAGTGACCAATAACCTGAAAGGTGAGGCAAGAAATTTGTGCAAGGGCAGAAAAATGACCTTTGGAATAAGACATGACCATGGGCAGGGGCGGATTAACGCACAGGCTAGATATGGCTTAAGCCTAGGGGCCCCACGTGTGTCAGCCTGCAAGGGGGCCCCCATTGGCGCGGAGCGGGGCTGGGTTGGGGGGCCCACAGACTACTGTAGCCTAGGGGCCTCCGTACACCTTAATCCGCCCCTGATCATGGGCCAATGTGGAGATGTTTGTGGGCTTCTCAAAACTGCTGAAATAAACTAATTAGGCATGCATTGGAACTATTGGAACTTTTGGTACAAGTACCCGACCAGAAGTCAATGGAAAAGGGTATGGTACCTCGTGCAGTGGGAAAGCACCCTTAGAATGGAGGTGTTGACTAAAGGAGAACAGGCTTCTTCATAAGGTCAGTGGCAGGTCACATGAGGACAGTGTACCACGACTGTTATGTTTCCAAAAATGACTGGATGAATGCAGAGAATGAAGCTTTGCACATGTTGGTGGAAGTGAAAACAGCAGCAAGCTGAGTCAAATGGGCAAACAAATCCATATTTTTCTAATGAGAACTTAAAGGAGTCTGACACTGGCAGTTAAGCTTTCGTTTCCCTTTTGAGAAATGAAAATCTGACATGGTGTTTAAAAGACAGGTGGGGGGGGGGGGGGGGGGGGCAGGGGACAGGAAAACCATACGATAAAAGTCACAGCAGATAAGGTGTCCGGGATGGTGGGCGGTGGCTTCATGGTACCACTGTCAACCGAAAGGGAACCTGAGGGTAGAATCAATTTGGGTTCTGAGGTTGCTTGCACAGATACAGAATATAAAACATTCATGAGCAAACACAGAAGTGATGCTAGGGCAGAAACACACACACACACACTATTGTGTAACAGGGTAACAACAGTTACTTTTGCTTTGACCTCGAGGCCGATGGTCTTCTGGCTTTGTGTAACAAAAACACATAAATCCATTTTCTGAAACTACTTGTCCTTTTTAGGGTCATGGAGGGGGGGGTGAGTGCAGAGCCTATGGTCACAAGGCAGGGAACAACCCAGGATGGGGAGCTCTCAGCATGCTTTTGGACCGTGGGGGGTGGGAACCCGGAGTACCTGAAGAAAGCCCCATGATGACTTGAGGAGGACATGCAAATTCCATAAATGGAACTCTGGTGGAGACTTGAACCTTGGTCTCAGAGGTGTGAGCCGACAGTGTTAACCACTGCACCACCGTTAGGTAAGAAGAGGGTGTGCTCCCCGCCCCGTTTCACGTTTCGCCCTCCCCATAAAATGACCCACTGCCATACTCCAGTCCCTAACAAAGTCGATCTGTTTGATGCCATAATGAATGAAGTTATAAATGTATCATCACGCACACTTATAAACACATATAGTGCAAGAAAGATATTTAAGATGCTAAATGAAATGAAAATTTTATCTATTTTATGGTTTTCATCTCCCAAGTTAAAACCAAAATTGAAAATCAGTGTATTCCGCTACATATAAATACCATGAATATAGCTTCAGCTTAACAGCTGATTTCTGGCTCTTTGTCAGCATTTCTGTGAGATGTTGCAATGACACCAGGACGTAAAGAAGCAGCATTTTGCAACAGGAATGTTTCACAAGGTATCTCTAGCTGCTCTCTGTCTGTCCGCTTCTATATATATTCGTAGTGTCTTTAAGTTCTTGAACGTTTGATTTTCTTGTCCCTGTGCTCCCTGGAATAGGTTCTAGGCTTACAGGGATTTTTCATGGAAACCCAAGATGGACAGGCATGTTCCCATCACCTGATCAACACCCTTCCAGCTTTCCAGAAGAACTGACTCGAGGTGGATGACCCGCAAAAGATGAATATTGAAAATAGCTAGAGATTTGAGTAAACTGAGTAGCAAACTCAGTTAACATTCAGGTTCTGAGTGTGTGGTATTAGAGTGGCAGTTTTTAAAAAAATGCTTAAGTACTCACAAGAAGAATGTACGGTAACACTTTACTTGAAGCATGCAGTCTACATAAGGGTGACATGGGACCGTCATAAGAATGACATTATTGATGTTTATGACTGTTGTCATAAACATCACTGTTGTCATAATGTGTCATTCGGTTTTTGGAACTGAATGACACATTATGACAGTCATAAACATCAATAATGTGTCATGTCATTCTTATGACGGTTACATGTCACCCTTATGTAGACTGCTTCAAGTAAAGTGTTCCCGAATGTACAGTGAGAGATTGGGGCAGGATGCACAATACTTGCCTGATAACCTATACATTACACTGAAATCCAAAGAAGCCAAAATGCCTTATGTCTAGACACCTGCCTTTTGGGTCCCAAAGATGGACGGAAGGTACAGGAAAGATCTGGAGAACATGCAGCGCGTGAGCGGTACGCCTTTAAAGGAGGGGCCTTTGTTGTTAAAGGAGGAGATGCTTTCGGGTTCCTCAGATTTTTTTTCTTTTCGTGGTTAGCGAATAACGAAAATGTCATTTAAAGGCGGCACTTTCAACCTGAGCCAAACTTCAGACATGTCAATTGAAAGTGAATGAATAGGGTACATGAATTACTGAGTTATTTTAGCATTTTAATATTTTAAGTAGTTCCTGGATATTTGTCAATATTAAGGTAAGGGTTCTCCATTAATTCTAAAATTAACCTACCAACTTGTGTGCGTGCTTCAGAGGAGACCTTTCCTGCAAGGGAGAAATAAAGCATCAATGTTTGACTTGCCTCGAGTCTTACAGACGATTATTGTATTAATCATTCATCTAACCATTCATCCATTTTCTGTATCCGTTATTTAACGTGTTTTATGATCACTCACCCTTGAACGATTTCGTTTATAATCTGTTAGAATGCCTGCCTCGCTTTTTATGCCGAAAGCCTCATTAACCCAGCGGCGCAACCCGTACCTTCGCTCACAACATTATTTCAACAGCTAAACTGTGACTAACGGCAACTAATGTTCGCGTCCTTTTTCTGCTGTCGGTTTTTTTTTTTTTAAAGCAATATGTCTTTAATTACTTGGATGTTTATTGTAACTGACCCATCAGAACTTTGCGTTTTAAAGCAGCAAACATCAGCAGTAGCGCGAACTCCTTAACCGCTGCACCGACTGCTGAATGCAACGCTGAGATAAAATATGAACTAAAAATAGCTACTTGAAGCCTCCTAATAAACTTTAACTATAGATTAAATGCGCATTATTGATATGCAGAGGTGGAGATTTCAGGTCCAGAAAGTACAAATTCAGACCGAGATTTTGTTTCAACCAACAATTAGTTTATACTTAACTTGTTGGTTGAAACAAAATTCAGTTTTAAATAGTCAAAATGCCAGTTATTGACAATAGAAATATTTTTTACTAAATGAAAAACCAATTTCGGTAACTTTATAATACTGTTCCGTAGTTAACAGGTAAATATGCAGGAAGTAAGCAGCAACAAAGGAGTAGCGCTTCATTAACACCTAAA